TAAGCTTTACAAGATTGGCTTCTCTATAAGAAGGAGCCCTCATCTCTGGCTTTAGGGTTAGCAAAAAAAGGTTAGAAAAAGTTGTGAGAGAAGCTCTGGTTCTAGGTTTAGGGTTTTGTATCTATCCTATATCTATATCTCCCCATTCTCTTGTATTGTGTGTGTTTAGGCTTACTAATTGCACACAAACATAGTGTTACAACCTTTTCTTGGTTTTTGAAGGGCCAGAGTTTGTTCTTGAAGTTTTGGAGCTGTTTTGAGCTCAAGGAAGGGGTTGGTCCACCATTTGTGAGAAGGTCAACAAGGGTAACAAATCTTAACCCTTTTTAATCCCATTTCTTGCATACTATTTTTGCTATCTTAGAATTATTTTTGAGCTTAAGTGTTATAGTATAAAAAAGTTCCTGTTTTGGCCTTCTAAATAAGTTTGGTTTAGAGTGTTTTTGTGGTTTGGAGGTGTTTTTCCCCCTTCTCAAAGCCTTGAGGGGCTCCATTTTGTGCTATTTTGAGTGAGCTCCGGGACTTTGGTGTTTAGGCCTCCTCACCACTGAAATCTTGAGGGATTTCAGTGGTAAGGATGGTGCCTTGAAGTCCCAAGAAGGGGAGGGCCACCCCTCTCCTTATTGTCCTTGAAAAAGGGCCATTTTTGCCTTTTAATGAGCACCTAGCTAAGCCTCATGTTGACCATACCTTGACTGTTATTTATGCTTATTTTGCCATGAAATAGCATTGTTGTATGTTGGTTTGTACACCATGCTTGCTTAGCATACATGCCTTGTAATGCCACTTTATTTCCTTAACATGCCTTAGGTTATAAACCATTGTTCTAGCATGTTTTAGGCTTGGCTTTGTGAAGCTTTTGTGCTTATTTTGCTATGTTTGAGGTCTGTCCTTAGTTGTTTGGGTCGACTTTGGCATGCTTAGTATAGCCCCTTTGCATTTTTGGCTTGTTGGCCTTAAGTGGTGTGAATGTATAGCATGCATCCTTGCCTTAATTTTAGTGGGTTGGGACCATTTGCCATGTTATTTCAGTCCCTTTAACATGCTTGTATGCTTGCCTTGGATGCTCTTTTGAAGCTTTGAAAGCTTGTCTTGCATGCTCCATGTTTTGGTCATTGTGCATGCTTTTGAATTTGAGCCACTTAGATGCCATCTAGGTGTCCCTTGGGTGTTGTTTAGGTTCGCATTAGACCTATTTTAAGTCCTCTTAGCTTTGTAAGGCTTGGTTGACTTAGTCTTGGTTTAAGCCTCTTGGCTTGTCTTGGGTTTTTGGCTTTGTTTGCATGTCTTGTTTATCTTGTTTTAATTGGCTTAGCACCTTTTGTAACATGATTTTCAATGCTTACCTTGCATGCCATTAGTCCATGTTATGCCTCTTTCAAGTGTGCTTGAGAGTTGCCCTTTTGTGCTTGAGTATTAGCCCCTTAACATGTGCATGTGTGTATGTGTGTTTAGTCCTCATTTCATAGCACTTATGGCAACTGTTTTGGGCCTAATTAGAGCTGCCTAAATCATGCTTAAGTCCATCCTTTGCTTGCTTGCATGCTTACCTTGCATGTTTGTTTGCATGCTTGCATGTACATCTTGCATTCCCATGTTGCATCCTTAGCTTGCATGCCTAGGTTGCATTGCATCTAGCATGCATGTCTTGTTCCTTGATCTAGTGATAGGAATTGGGCTTTGGTTTGTTGGTTTGCATTTCATTTGACATGAAATGCACAACTTGGTCTCTTGGGCCATCACGCATTGAAATGCGCGATTGATGGTCCGAGAACCAAGGACCATGTCCCTTTGAGTCATACACATGACAAGGGATAGGATTGGTGCATACATTGCTTGAATTACATTGCCATGCAAAGCCCTGTCCTCTGCTGCTGTCAAACAGATCTTGCAGGAACTTTTTGCCGATCGACTGCACAGAGTGCCGACCGGCAATCCATCAGTGGCCGATAGCTTCATTTGTGGCCGATGACCACCAAATCACAGCCGATGATAATTCCCTCCAGCCGGTGGTGTCTCCCAATGTCCAGGGAAGCAATTCTGAGACTTTGGAAGTTTTCAGAGTGGCAGAGCTGGGAAAACAGAGGTAGCTTGAGCATAGCAATGGACTTCCGAGCAAGACCCGAGCAGCGTGCATTGAGCCCTCTTCCGAGGCCCTTTTCCTTGCTTTTCTAAGCTTAGTTAATTTGTTAATTAATTAGCTTGCGAGTTAGTTAATTTGTACTATTCTTTTGGTCCTTCGAGCGAGGGTGAATTTGTAATAAGTGTGGGTGAGTGTGTGCATGTCTTCCAACCCCTATTTCTTTCTCCCTTTTATTTACCTGCTTTGATGGTTAGTAATAGGTCATTTTTAATTTAGCATACCTTATGCTATGCATGCGTGCATCATTCATCAGTATTGCATGCACCGGGCTCGGCGCATCATGATAACTGCATTAGCATTTCAAATCCAATTTGAATACATGCTACTTGTGCATTTTCACATGTCATTCATAACTAGCCGAGCCTACTCTAGTGACATTCCGTATGCGTTGCATAGGCACTTAACATGAACTAGGATCATGCATATGATTACTAACTAGTTTTTGTTTTGGCACGGAGTACGATATAAGTATTTATGCTTTAGCATCCTTGCATGCGTGTGAGTGTTGCCATGATAGCATGATTACCATGAGGCTACTGCTTATGTGATATGAACTGCTTGAATGCCTGTGGGTGAAGGTTGGATTGTTTGAGTTGGAATGGCTCATTGAAATCCGTGTTTTAGCCTACTTGCGAGTAGCAAATTCCAAAGCATTTTTCTAAAACAAACGGATATGCAATGCTTATTCCCAAATCAGGCAATCTAGTCTATACTTTTGTGCCGTGCGCATAACATAGTAATTCTGGCTAATAATTGGGATAAGAACACATAATGTTTTCAAAACGGATATCACTGTTAGTAGAGGCCGATCTTTGGATCGGGCGAGAGGGGGTGCTCATAGCTGACCTTCCCCAATCGTACCCTAGCTTGGCCTAGCGAGCCTCGTTCCCGAGCCGAGGCAACTTTGGTGATGACGGACACGTGGCCTTAGGCACAAGTTAGGGTTTCCTAAATTCTCCCAAAAATAAAATATTTAGGTGGCGACTCTGTATCTGGCAAAGCAGTCCATGTTTGGCACTTCTTTTCAAAAATCTGTTTCTCAAAACGATTTGCCGGATTTGGACTCTTTGGTTCAGATTAAGAACCGTGACGCAAATCGAGTCCGAACTGTAGCGCGGGATCCCTCGCGGGCGCGTGTCTACACTACGTAGCATCACTGTATTCTTATTTAGTGGTTGTGTGACATTGCTTTATCATATAAGGTTGCAAGTTCAGCCTTCATGGAGACGAGCTTGAATTATTTATGATGTTTATTCCATCTTGTTTAATGTAATATTTAGGCTTTGTTTGGTATGAACTATTTTGGTTAAATTAGTCAATAAAGACAAAATATGCTAATTTAGTTAATAAAATAAAATGCCACATTTAATTCATAATCAATTAATTTTTCTTTTATAACCATCAAATTAACTACAAAAAAAAGTCAAATTTATCTCATACACAACTTTTTTAATCAAATTAAAATAACTAAAAAAATAAAACTAAATTAGCTCATCTCAAATGATGACTTCTAATATTTATAATTACCCTTCTATTAATTTAGGTGAGCAAATTTACATTTCCTACAATCTCTTCGTCTCTTTTTATACTATATCTAAAGGGGTGTTTGATAACATGATTCAGCACTTAAAACTGAATTAATTAAGTGATAATCAATTAAGTCCGCTTGATAACTATAATTGAAATCACTTAAAATTTTAAGTGTCTCTTAAAATGTATGTTAAAACTTAAGAAAATTTTAAATCATATAAAATTTACTTAATTCTAACTGAATTTATAAATGTTAAACATAAATATCGATATACACTATTATAAATTCACCACCACCACCACAACAACAACAACCATCATGCCACAGCCACCACTACGGCTACCGCTACCGCTACCACTCCCACAACCACTACCATCATGTCACCACCTCTACTATTAGTACCACTATCGTTATTACCATCACCACCATGCCATCGCTACTACTACAACCACTATCATGTCGTCGCCGCCACTACTATTACCTGTATTACCATTGTTATTATATGCCATGAACACTATTATTTTAATATTACTATCATCGCTACCACTATCCCCTCAATTTAAAAATAATAAATTTCAAATTTTATCTTACACACATTAAACAACTTATTTTGGAAAATTATTAAATATTTTCAGAATACCATGTGTCTATACTCTCTAATCAATCATTATTCAATATATTCCATCATGTTCCCCAATCACACAACACAATACCCCATATAGTCACCTCCTCTGAGCAATCATAATACTATGGAATGCCACGTGTTCATATTCCTGGATTACTGTATAATTATCCACTTATTTTTAGGGGCTGTTTGGGGTGTCCTAAATAAGTGCACTTTTTGTCTTTTTAGACTAAAAAGTTGAGGTTGAAAATATGAATGTTTGGGTTAAATTTTTGACTTTTTTTGGAAAAATGTGTATTAAAAAATTGTATAAATTAATGTGTAGGGTAAAATTAGTATTGGGAGTTGTGCAGTCATAATTGTTGACTTTTGATGAATAGTGATAACTTTTTGACTTTTTGGCTTTTTTGAAACTTCCCAAACTTGGCCTTAGTTTATCACTTAAATTTTTATCAAACAGCTTTTCAACTTCAAAAATTTAGCATTCAGTTTTATCAAAAACCACCTAAGTTATGTCTTGAAATTATTACTTTAAAATATGTTTAGATCATAAATTTAAAAAGAAAGGGAAAAAAAATTAACTTATAAATATGTTGAAAGAAAAGACTGTGAAATTTGAGATCATATTGGCCCCTTTTGGGAAGTGAGTTATAATCCACTTCCCAGATTATAACCCACTTCCCCTCCCACCAAAAAGCTGATTATAAGCAGCTTTTAACCAAAAAGCTGATTATAACCATCTTCCCAAAATAATCCATTATTGTAGTCACAAATAATAATAAAAAAACCCAATAATGCATTACATAAACATTATACTCAACAGTGGCGTCTCCATTCTGGATATACAATTTATGAGTCTTGGTTTTAACAGATCCCCTCGCAAATCCGAAAAGACCGCTCCCTCTGATCACCGGCATCTCCCTCACCGGAGCATAGACAGAGTTCCAACCAAGCACAGTGCTGGTGCTTCCATTGTATTTGGCCTCACTCGATGCAAAATTCATCACCATTAACAATCCTAAATCTTGTTGCGACGCCAAAGCATAAAACCCCTGAGCCCTACCCACCATTTTCGATGATCTCATTTTGGGACCTAATGTTAATGGATTGTCGATCAGTCTAATTAATCCAAAAAATGTGGCGGAGGTGTTCGATGCCAGTGGAACTACTTGCACGGCAGTGGGGTTGCTGCCATTAACAATGTCGTGCCAGAAGAATCGGAAGTGACTTAGTTTCTCTTTTTTTTTTAGACCCATTAACTTATTATGATCTATCCTCCTCACGAATCCATGTTCATCTTCTTCTTCTCTGGCGGCCATGGAGGACGGAGTTGCGATGGCTAAGAAAAAGAAGATAAGAACAGAGATGGTGAGCAACTGAAAAACTAGACCAAGACTGACTGGCCATTTCAAAAGCTTATTGATGGCGGAACACAAAACTACTAAAATTCCATGTAAGTACATACCAGTGGAGCAGTGATGATACGAGTCCGAATCCTCGGCCGCTGTTTTCTGCGGCGATTCCTACAGCGGGTCAAAGCAACAATGTTTTGTGTATTTTTTTTTTTTTGAAATTTTTTTGGTCTCTCCTGTGATATCTTTGTTCCGTAATATGTTAATTGGTTCTTAACATGAATGTGATTATGTGTTTCATATGATTTCGTGTGCCATTATGTGAAAATATGTGGTTTTGAATTTCTATCTATTCACCGCATGAATATCTGTTTGATTATCTGCTTTGGAAATTAAATTGAAGGCCTTGTCGGCCACCGAAACCGAAATTGGTTGCGCCATTGTGATTGGTATAATTTTTAGAGCCTACGGTGAAGTTTAATTGGAAATTGATTTGGATCAGATTAAATTGATTTAATTAATGACATAGTGCTTAAATTATTTAATATTAAATAATTATGGTCAGTAGGACTTGTAAAGAGAGGCACTATACACTCAATTTATACACTTGAGCTCAAAATCAGATTTTGTGCCTTAGAAAGAGAGGGGGCCGGCTATAGAGAGAGAAAGGGAGAGAACTTGTGCAAGTTTGGCTCAAAGCTTGGAAACCTTGAAGATTTCTCAAGAATTTGCTATAGATTGTGAGAATTAAAGCTCCTAGGTAAGTATTTCACAGATTCTAGTTTGTAATTTTGTGTATTCAAGCTAGTTAGGTAATCAAGAGTAAGTTTGACATGAAATTGAGTTGATTTTGGTTGTATTTAAAGTCATGGAATGCATGCATGTGCATAATAGCCATGAATTTGTATAGTTGAGCATGAAAAGTATGATTCATATAGAATTGTGGCTAGAATCCATGCTTGTGACCACCATTTGTACAATTTGAGTTGAAATTGAAGTTATATCTCACATGCATGTACCATTCATAAGAAGTATGAGCTTGAATGCATGAAATTGTTATGTTGAAAGTGAATTTGGTGTAGGTTGGGACATGCATGTGGTTAATTTGTGAAATTGAGCTCCATTGTGTTGTAATTTGGTGTTGGTACCATATTAGTATATGATTATGTGAAGTTTGAGTCAAAAACATGCATCTAGAACCATTGAATGTCGAATTGGCGCCCAAGAACATGTTCTGGAAAACCCAGAAAATTTGATGTCGGCTCGAGCGGGAAAACCGCCGCTCGAGCGCGAATTTCGTGCTCCCAATATTTTTTGCAGACTTGGATATCCGCTCGAGCGGGGAAGTTCACGCTCGAGCGGGGAGCTATGTAGACAGACCTTCAGCTTGAGCGCCAGCCTTCACGCTCGAGAGTAATTTTGATGCATTCAGTACTTTTGCAGGCCTCTTGGGTCCGCTCGAGTGGGGAAGTCCACACTCGAGCAAGGACCCTGTTTTCTGAAATTTTGTTTATGCGTTCTGTGTTTTGTTTTCCGTCATCTTTCACTTGTAAGCACTCTTAGGCATGCATTGAGCATTGTAAATGAGTTAAAGAGATAAGAATGAAGCCTAAAGAGGAATATGTGAATTAAGGAACGGATTGAATCGTTTGTGACCCGCATGTGCTATGTGATGTGTAGGGTCAAGCTCCAGGGCAAACCAACCAACCGATCACTGTGAGTAATATCTTAACAAAGATATCTGAAATATGTTGTTGTCCAAATTACTTACTTCTATGTAAGTTTTATAAGTTCGTTGATTCGATTAGTGGACAATGTTGCTATGCCAAATGAATGGGCTAGAGGTCAGTTTGATCTGAATGATAGAGTGAATGGGCTAGAGGCAGTTTTGACAAGAATGAATGAATGGGCCGGAGGCCGTTTTGACATGAATGAATGGGCCGGAGGCCGTTTTGACATGAATGAATGGGCCAGAGGCCGTTTTGGCACGAATGAATGAATGGGCCAAAGGTCGTTTTGACACGAATGAATGAATGAATGGGCTAGAGGCCATTTTGACACGAATAAATGAATAGGCCAAAGGCCAGTTTGATACGAATAAATGAATGGGCCAAACGCCAGTTGACATAAATGAAAATATGAATTGGGCCCAAGGCCGTTTAAAGTATGTTGTTCTACATATCGTTTGTATAACTTCTTTATTTGATATCATTCACTGGGCTATCGCTCATGCTCATTTATGTGTTTGTAGGTGAGCCAAGAGAAGTCCAGACCCAGCCCCAGTGATGTCTGTGTGGAACAACAAAGGTTTTGAAGAGTCAGCCCTTGCGTCTCACGCACGAGACTCGTCTTCGCCTTTTGTCATTCTGTTTTATTTTGTCATGTGGGCGAAGTCTTTGAATATGTTGTATATAGTTTTCTTGGGTTGACTTAGACTTATATGATCCTGTATGTACAGAACTTTGTGTAGTACATATTTTGTTGTGAGTTATTAATATACATATGTATGGTTTGTTATGATGTGCCATGTAAGCACAGCTCTATGGACAAAGTTTTAAACTGCTTCCGTTTGGCCCCCATTAACTCTGTCAACATACTTTTGATTTGGTTTGAGGCCGTAGGTAATCTCATGATTACTGGCCGGTTATGTCCTCAACCCACGGGGGCGGGTTCGGGTCCTGACAAAGTGGTATCAGGGCACAAGGTAATAATTCACACACTTGTCCAAAAGAGCAATAAAAGTCTAGAAAAGATCTAGGATGCATTCATGTGATAATTATGAATTTGGAAGCATCGAGAATATGCCTAACTATTTTGATATGAACGATTATGTGCGATAAGTTTGTGAATTACTTGCATTGCAATTGTTTGAATATGTGTGCTTCCTAGTATATGCATACTTGTGTACCTTTTGTATAACGTATAATGTAAGTTTAATTAGATGGTGAGAACAAGAGATGATGAGATAGAGGAGTCCTCTACTGCCAGAATAGACAGAATGGAAAGACTGATACAGAAAATGGCAAAAACGTTGAGACAACAACCGGAGTGGCAACAACAGTGGCAACAACCACACCCTCCACCTCCACCTCCAAGCACCTTCTGTGCCAGATAATCAGAATGACGATCGAATAATAGCACTCACCAAAGAATTCAAGAAAATGAAACCACCACAGTTCTACGGGGGACTAGATCCGTTGATAGCCGAAGCATGGGTCCTTGGCATTGAGAAACTGTTTGAAGTGTTCCCGTGTTCAGAGACACAGAAAGTAGTTCTAGCCACTTTTATGCTAGAAGATGAGGTAAGAAGATAGTGGATGTTAATGCGAGAAAATCATAAGGATGTTGACTGGGTGAAATTTCTGGAGATTTTCTACGACAAGTACTTCCCATAATGTGTTCGGGATAGGAAAGTAGCAGAGTTCATGGAACTTAGGCAAGACAGCATGACTATAGCTGAGTATGAGGCCAAATTTACTGAATTGGCCAGGTTTGCACCACACGTGATTGACACTAACTATAAGAAAGCGAGACATTTTGAAGGTGGGCTCCGAAGTGACATTTTAGAAAGAGTGAATGTCTTGAAGTTGGAGACCTACATTGGGGTGCTAGACAGGGCCATCATATCAGAGGCTAACATAGCTAGACAAACTAAGTCAACAACTGACTGGAAAAGTAACAAAAGGCAAGGCTTCTTCTTAAAGAAGAAATTTTCGAAAAAGCAAAATACGGGCTCCTTAAATACTTCAAATTCTTCCTGAGACACAGCTTCCATGTGTAATATTTGTAGCAGAAAGCACCGCTGAGTTTGTTACCGTGTGTCAAGAGCCTGTTTCAAATGTGGAAAACAAGGGTATATGGCCCGAGATTGTAATCAGAACAGTAGGGAACTAGTTGCTAGCTCAACTGCATCAATCCTGAAGCCGGGAAATACTATGAGACTTGCTATCACTGGGGATAGGGTGAAACAAGGGAGAGTTTTTGCGCTTGTTCCGGACGATACACGGAATGCCAATGCAGCTGTCTCAGGTACTATTTCTATATGTAATCAGGATGCTTTTGTGTTAATTGACTCCGGATCCACACACTCTTTTGTGACATGTGCATTTGCATCTAGACTGAATAGACCTTTAGAATTACTGCCATATCTGCTATGTCTGTCTGCTCTATCTGGGGAATCTGTATTGTGTGAATCTATATACCGGTTTTGTGATATGCGTGTTGAGGATGCTATCCTATATGCAGATGTGCTGCCCTTAAACTTCAGGCATTTCGATGTAATTTTGGGCATGGATTGGTTGACCAAATATTGTGCCACCATTGATTGTGTGACAAAACGGGTTGTGTTTAAACCACCAGAACATAAAGAGATTGTGTTTATGGGTAATGGGGCAGTGCCTCCACCTTATTTGATATCTGCAATGAAAGTATGCAAACGGATCAGGAAAGGGTGTCAGGGTTATTTGTGCTATATGTTGTCTGAACAATCTGTGAATGTTGAATTAAATGATATCCCTATTGTTAGAGAATTTCTAGATGTGTTTCCAAATGAATTACCAGGGGAATTGGTAGACAGGGAGATAAAGTTTACTATTAAAACTGTGCCAGGTACCCAGCCCATTTCTAAAACTCCTTACAGAATGGCTACTGCTGAAATGAAAGAACTGAAAGAACAGTTACAAGACCTGCTTGACAAGGGGTTTATCCAACCTAGCACTTCACCTTGGGGTGCACCAATACTGTTTGTGAAAAAGAAGAATGGAACCCTATGCCTGTGTATCGATTATCGGGAATTGAACAAGGTAACAATAAAGAACAAATATCCCCTACCCCGTATTGATGACTTATTTGACCAGTTGCAGGGATCACAAGTGTTTTCCAAGATTGATTTGAGATCCGGGTATCATCAATTGAAAGTAAAGGCAGAAGATGTTGAGAAAACCGTATTCAGAATGAGGTATGGACAT